TTAGTGGTGGTGGTGCAGTAAATAGAAATGTTCTCACATTTCAGGAAGTGCGGCAAAAACTTGGTCACCGCTTAATGTTGCCAGATTTATTGATTAAACCTGTCCAACGAATCATGAGATATCAACTTTTGCTCAAAGTAAGTATAACTCTTTGTTTGAGTTTATTTTTTTTTTTTATTTTTTTTTTTTTTTAAATTTTAATTCTCCCCCCCCCCCCCCTAAAATAAAAAGGAACTCGCGCAAGCCTTCAAGGCGGATTCGAGCAGGAGACAAAAGGACAAACTTCTACTGACGGCAGCACTTGGTGCTGGGAAGGATACCATAGACGCAGCTTACGAGGTCGATCAAATAGCGAGGTAAGCAACGGAATAGAAAGGGAGGCCAAGACAAGGAGAGGTAAGCCAAGTTATAGAGAGGTAGGCCAAAAAATAGTGGGGTAAGCCAAGGTATAGAGAGGTAAGCTAAGGAGTGGTGAGGTAGGCCATTGAATAGAGAGGTAAGCCAAAGAATAGAGAGGTAAGCCAAGGAGTAGAGAGGTAAGCCAAGGAATGGTGAAGTATGCCTAGTAATAGAGGGGGGGGAGAAGCCAAGAAATAAAGAGGTAAGCCAAGGAATAGAGACGTGAACCAAGAAATAGAGAGGTAAGCCAAGGACTGGTGAGGTAAGCCAAGGACTGGTGAGGTAAGCCATGGACTGGTGAGGTAAGCCATGGACTGGTGAGGTAAGCCAAGGACTGGTGAGGTAAGCCATGGACTGGTGAGGTAAGCCAAGGACTGGTGAGGTAAGCCATGGACTGGTGAGGTAAGCCATGGACTGATGAGGTAAGCCATGGACTGGTGAGGTAAGCTAAGGAATAGAGACGCGAACCAAGAAATAGAGGCGTAAGCCATGGACTGGTGAGGTAAGCCATGGACTGGTGAGGTAAGCCATGGACTGGTGAGGTAAGCCATGGACTGGTGAGGTAAGCCATGGACTGGTGAGGTAAGCCAAGGAATAGAGACGCGAACCAAGAAATAGAGGCGTAAGCCATGGACTGGTGAGGTAAGCCATGGACTGGTGAGGTAAGCCATGGACTGGTGAGGTAAGCCAAGGACTGGTGAGGTAAGCCATGGACGGGTGAGGTAAGCCATGGACGGGGGAGGTAAGCCATGGAAGGGAGAGG